GTTTTTTTTTTTTTTTTTTGTACCCGGGATTGAACTCGGGTCCTTGCACTTGCAAGGCAGGCCACGGAACCACTGAGCTAAATCCCCAGCCTTAAGTATTTTTAAATAGTAGTTGATGTATCAAAACTCAGCTCTTTTATCTTTGTCTTTTTGAATGAAAGATAAGGAATTAAGTTTTCCTAGACATTTAGTCTCCCTCTAATTTCTGCGACTGCTCTTAATGAATGTGTTACTTTGTTTTCTCTTTAGACAGTTGAACCAACTGGAAAGCGTTTCTTGTTAGCTGTGGATGTCAGTGCTTCAATGAGCCAAAGAGTTTTGGGCAGTATACTCAATGCTAGCACAGTTGCTGCAGCAATGTGCATGGTGAGAACACCTAGAACAGTTTAGAATTTTCCCCCCATAAAAGTATATTTATAAGTCAGGCCTGGTGGCACATGCCTGTAATCACAGCACTCAGGCAGCTGAGCCAGAGCTGATCAGGAGTTCAAAGCCAGTATCAACTATGTGGCAAGACTCTGTCTCAAAAAGAAATGTTGGCTATGGGGTAAAACTATAAAATTAGATATAATCAAGACTTATTTTTTCATTGTAGCCCATGGGACATATTTTCTTCTATCATTTTTAGTCTAAAGAGCATTTTGTGCCAGGTTAATAGCGCACACCTATAATTCCAGCTACTTGAGAGGCTGGGCAGGTAGATCACAAGTTCAAGACCACTCTGACCAACTTAGTAGCACCCTGGCTGAAAAAGCAAAAGCAAAAAAAGAAAAAGAAAACAAAAGGCTAGAGATGTGCTCTGTAATGGAATGCTTGCATAGCATGTATGAGGCCCTGGGTTCAACTCCCAGTACTGCAAACAAGAAAACCAAATATATAATGTAACTATTGTTTACCTTAAATGTACCAATAAACTTAGTGGTGGGGGGAGAAAACCAAATTTGTAAATTAAAAGTTTTGAATGTTTTGAAAAAGCATTTCTAAAAAATAATTGAAATTTTAAATTGTACCAAAGATTAAATATTAATAGCATTTTTGAGGACATAGTGCTTACAAAAATTATTTAATGATAAGTTAAAAGATTAGAGAACTAAAAAGTGTCAGGAGACTATTTCTAGCCTCACTGAAAAGCAAGCTGCTTTAATTTTTTTCATAACTGACTTTCCTATAGCTTGATAAATTGAAGACTATATCCCTTCAAAGAGTTTGTGAAAAGCACTATACTTCGAAGCTATATTGTTAATTTTATACTTTAGAACACAGTAGTACAAGTTTGTAAATAAAATAAGCACATCTTGTTTATCTTAATGATGAAGTTGTATAAACTTAAAGATACTATATTTATTTCCCCCAAATTTGCTGAAAATTAACCATCATTGAATTTTTCAGGTTGTCACCCGAACAGAAAAAGATTCTTATGTAGTTGCTTTTTCAGATGAAATGGTACCATGTACTGTGACTAAAGATATGACCTTACAACAGGTTTTAATGGCTATGAATCAGGTAATAAACTTTTGAAATTGTTTATTTAACATGAATGCATGGTGTTAATTTATAAGAAATTTTATCTTTTCCCATGAGAAGCACAAAATCAAAACTAGCATAGTCTTAAAAATAGCAGTCTTATTAGAGAAGGCCTATTTAATGGCTCTAAACAGTATTGCAAAAATAATAGTATTTTAGTATTTAATTATTTCAGACATCTCATTGTGGACATTAGGTCAATGTTATTCTCATTCATGTTCTTGTTGAGTTTAGATCCCAGCAGGTGGAACTGATTGCTCTCTTCCAATGATCTGGGCTCAAAAGATGAACACAGCTGCTGATGTCTTCATTGTATTCACTGATAATGAGACCTTTGCAGGAAATGTCCATCCTTCTGTTGCTCTGAGGGAATATAGAAAGGTAAAACAAATTCTGCTGTTCTCACCCAAATAATACTCCACTGTTTCTTTAAAAACATCACTAAATTTACTTCTGTACCTTTGTATAGGAATCCAGTGTCAGTTATGAACTCAGTAATACTTGAAGTAAGAAAAGTAGTGCTCACTCATGTATAATTTATTTTAAATCTAGTGTTAAACATTACTGAAAATATCCTCTGCAAATAATATTCTTGGTAATAATCAAAATACTTACTTTACCTTAACTCTAAATTTTTTAATGCTTTATTGTGCTCCTTGAAAAATTACAAGTATCATTTGTGGATTTTGCTAAATACCTACATAAAGCTGTAACTATGTTCTAAGTTTTATGGTGATACATAGAGGTGGGGAGGGGATGGGGAAATCTGTGCTCCCTGATGGAGTTCCCTGAAGTGACATAAATTTGTATAACTACACCCTCCAGTATGGTAGGTAGCTACTACTCACATGGGCCTAGTGGCACTAACATGAATAGAAGTAGAAATAGAACTTGCTAATGAAGTGCAGTAGTTTTCAAAAAGTATGGTTTCCTTACCGGCAGCCTTAGAATCACCTAGTACCATGTTGAATATGCCGATTCCAAGGCCTCATCAACCATTTGTTGAATCATTAACTCAGTTAGTAGAACTGTGTTTTAACAAGTTTTCCAGGGATGCTGGTGCATGCTTAATTTTGAGGACCACAGTCTGAGACAGTAGAACTAAAGGTAGCCTGAAGTCTTAGTCCTTGGTCTTTGTTACTGTGGACCCATTAGATGGTACAGTAATAGTACCTACCTTTAGGGTTGATACAACAATTAAATTAGATGCATTATTTAAAGAGTTCACTGTAGTGTCTGACAATAATATATGTTTGGGGATTATTTTTTCTCAAAAACTCAAATTATATTAACCTTACATGTAACTATAGAGAACAAGTTCTTACATGGGATATTTGCATATTGAACATAGGGTCATTATAAACCAAATGTTGATAATCCCAGAGAAATATTTCCTTATGTTTATATATACTCATACTGTCTCAGCCTTTACCATATTGTCAAGTGTCTGGCACCCTTGAGTATCCTAATAGTTTTCATAATTTACAAAGCTCCCATACTGCTTTAAATGTACTCTGGACCCCATAAAACAGATAAAAATACAGAACAAAGAAACTTCAGATAAGTTCTTCTCAGTTATATTTCGGAATCTTTTAAAGCTCATACTGTCTGACCATAAAAGATTAAGCAAAAAAAAAAAATTTTTTTTTTTACTTTGTAAATAAACTGTGATAAAGAAATTTTAAAGTATTATAATTTTGGACATTTTTCTTTTTGCTTTTCCTTCTGTAATTTGTATGTGTTTTTATTTTTTATGTATTTTTTCCTACAGAAAATGGATATTCCAGCTAAATTGATTGTTTGTGGAATGACATCAAATGGTTTTACTATTGCAGACCCAGATGATAGAGGCATGTTGGATATGTGTGGCTTTGATACTGGAGCTCTGGATGTGATTCGAAATTTCACATTAGATGTGATTTAACCATAAGCAGCAGCATGATCCAGAAGAGGTCAACTGTGATCAGTGATCTCACTAAAATTACACAGCTGCTTCCCACCTAATCTAATCCAGTGAAAGATGATGGTACAGTATGTACATAATGGAAGTTACTTTATGAAAAAAAAAGGAAAAGAAGGAAAAATAAGATGAGCCCAAAGTTCTATCCACTAGTCTAGCTTTTGGGAAATAACTTCCAAGATACTGTAGCCTCCTCTCTTAAGAGAACTTTGTTTTAGTACACCGTACAGTAGTTTGCTCTGTTGAATAATATATTTATACTTAAAAGAGGGGGTCCAAAAGTGTGAGTAGATCCTTGTCACATTGCTTGTTGGAGAAGTACTTTTTTTTTTAAATGTTTTCATTGGAAAAGAACAGCTTTGATAATATCCAAATACTCTGAAATGCACTAGACCATGTAACTGTGATGGAATATGAAACTCATCTATAAATTTTTGTACCAAGGGGATAAAAAACTAAGACATTTGATTAAATTATGAATGAGTTTTACAAATTCCTTTCAGAGTTTTCTAAGATCGCTTAAGTAACAGCTCTTATTCAATGAAAAATATTTTAGTTGTGATTTTTTTTTAATTTGTACTTGTAGAACCTGTTACCATTAAACAGAAACAAATGCCTAAGAGGAGGCTCTAAAGTTTGTGTTGGCTGAGGAGTTCTATTTGGTTTGCTTTGTTTATTGGAATGAGTAAGGGTGTTAACCTGACAGTGATTTCCTCTACGTAACAACAGCTTTGTATAGTTAACTTTTTAAAATATTCTTAAGTAACAAAATATTTCAAGAACTGAAGTCCCCCAATTTCAACTATAACCAGAATAGCCTGTTCCTTGCTCCTACCATAGGAATTGTTTCAGTTACTTTCACCTGTTGTTTTTAGTCAAATTGTAATCTTGTCACTGGTCTCCTGACGTCCATTATTCATTTTTATGGCAAAACATTCATTTTTCATAAGGTAAAGAAATAATAAAGCAAGCTATGTCCTTCAGGTTTGAAAGGTAGTTCTTGAGTGACATTACCAACTAACCAGTCTTTAGGAAATTATTTTTATACTTTGTGTATTAAACTTTTCCATTACACTAACATTTTCTTGATCAAGAATTGTTTTCATTGGGAGGCTTAACATTAAAGCAATTTGTTGAAATGTCAGTATCTTTTCTTATAATTTTGTAATTGTCAAATATAGCTTAAATGTTAAACTTTCATTTTTATGAATTGTCTTTAAAAATATTAAAGGAATACTGAGGGTTTATAAACCCCTTCTCACTGTTACATGAAAAGTTAACACTAGCAAATGTAAACTATAGTGTTGTATATGCTTGGGCTGGACATTTTTTGGTTAAAGGGGTCTTTAGTAGTACAAGGATTTGTGTATCTATTTTCTACTTTTTTGTGGGAAGATTTTGGTGTTGGTAATAAGAAAATTTTTTTCAAATGTATTTGACATTTTGACGTATGTATCCATGCCTTCAAAGCAAAGGATCTCAGTTTTTAAATGTTACTTAACTGCGGTTTTTTTGGTCATCAAAGCTAGTACTACTTCGCACACTTAATATGCATTTGTCTATGATATGATCCTGGTTTTAACCCTCTGTCACGCATGGAATTTAACGTCTTGGCTTTTTTTTTTTTTTTTTTT